CCTGGATTGTTGCTTTAAGTAAGTCAACGAAATGTATGCCCACCAGTAATGTATGAAGTTTTTAGTTTTAGTTGAATAAAGCGGATTGGACACCATTGGCGCATCACCATGCACAACGAGATCCAGTTGGGCGAACAATGGCACTGTAGTGAATCCTGGATAAGGGAAGGCGAAGTTCGCTACTTCCACCTGAAAAGCCATATGAAATTTAAGACACTTATCAAAAGCATATTTGCACCGGAATTGAGGACAAAAACAGTTGGAACACAGCGTCGTTCCCATCGGTGCTCTCTCATGTTTAACCCATTCGTGACAATGGCAGCCACCGGTGGCTGACAAAGATCTCACTCGGGACAATGGTATCCACCGGTGGCTGCCGTGTTTCAAATGGAATTTGGAAAGTTTTCTTTCCTGAAAAGAATCTTCATACCCTCATTCATCTACGCCAGCCCTGGGCAGAGGAAATCTCCATCCACTCAAATTTTATTGAAGAAAAATCTCCTGACTCTCCTGCTAATGCGCAATCCCGCGCAGTCACGAATGGGCTAAAGGACCTCCCAAAAGAAGATCGCATGCTCCATCCGACTCCGCCCATTTATTCATCGCGCAACTTGCGTTTAGATTCATGCTAAAATGAACTATTCAAACTCAAATAGAAAACCAAAAAGAGCCAACATACCATTGAGATGCCTAGAGACCAAACATCCGATCTGATATCATAGCCTTTTGAAAATGTCATCAATCTCTCCGGCTGAAATTGCAACATTTTAGGCAAGAGGGCAAGACGTTTCCGTTAGTTTGTCAGTCAATTGTTGAACTACTCAATTCTGGACATAATTCGAGACGTCGTCACTACATCACCGAGAAATAAACTGGAATGCTTAGTGACATTTTTGGATGGGTGTATGCCAGACTACCCGCCGCCTGCCACAGGCCATAATCGAGAAGAGGTGGTGAGACTACAGATGAAATTCAAATTGACGGTGAGATGTGCTGGTTATGCTGTATGGCTTGCCTTTCTTAGCCCGTTCTTAGCTGACATACACCACTATTTGATAGGCCATCTGAAAATTAAGTTGGGCACTTTGATTTCAAAGCAGCTTAAATCGGAAAATACCGCGCATATATAATAAATAATAGCAGCGTTAACCTGTTTTGTAGGTGGACCTACTTACTTTTCCGCCCTTCAATTTCCCCATTCCGAAATTTGTTAGCCCTGTGCAGTCCAACATCCGATATAAGAATCACTCACATTATTAGAAACCGGCATCCAGGTTCGCACAATTTTCAAACTTGGCTATTTTCTGCAGGAGCCAGGTATCTAACAGCCGAGCAAATGATTACAAAATTGAAAATAAGCAAATCTTACAGCCATGTATGGTCGACATCCGGCATCCTGAGTTTGAGCCACTGAATCCTGTAGATACCCACAAATACCGAAATCACACAGTTTCACTTCACCTTTTCTATTAAGCAGAATATTTGAAGGTTTCACGTCTAAAATCGAAATATTTAGTAGAGAAATAAAATCACATAAGAAAAAACAAAAGGCCATGTTATTTGCATAAGAGGAAAATTGAGAATTACCGCGGTGAATAATGTGATATTGACTTTTCATGTGATTCAAAGCAATGATGGTCTGAAACAATTAAGATCAAAAGTAGTATTAACAATGGGAAATAAGAGCTTCAAATGCATCGAATATGATAGCTGAAAAGTAGAGCGGTTTTGATGAGTTCATTCGACGTCATTTGTGGAAGGACTTTGGGAATGGTTCCATTCTCACGCGCTCATTGACGGAAACACGTTGAGTATAGTCCCAAATACACCCCCCCCTAGCTCGCTGAAGGATATGGCCCACCAATGACGCCCAAAGCGTTATCAAAACCGCACCACCCTCCAGCCATCTTGTTCACGCCTTTTATTGAAGATGATGAGAACTCCTTACATTGATAGCAACACTTCCTAACGTATTCTCATCAAAAGCAGGATAACCCAAATCGTGTACAGCCATATAAAGTCGTTCTAATGAAATATCCATAAGTTCCATACAGACTAGACCATCTCCCTGAAAGTACTGCGAGATACTGCAATGACACAACTATGCTTTTTGCCTTCCTTCGAAGAGATACATTGGCCTCAGCGGATATTGTAATCCAAAAACAGAATTTCATACTGGTCCGCTTAACCCTTTCGACGCTACTGGCGGCAATTGACACCATCAAATTCAGAGGTGTGCATTACCGGCGCAACACCAACATTTCTACCAGTTCTGCTAAAGTTCGCTTTGACGGCACAACCCAGGCAGAGGTCGTGTGAACGCTTCCCTTCGGTCTGTAGTATAGACCCCTAGAGGACAATCACAAATGTGGCGTTCCCGTGCACGGAAACCAACCGACAAGAGCGCTTGGGCCTTGCTGAAGCTGCAGATTTTTTCTCTTATCAGGCTGTTGTCTGGCGCTCTCTCATCTGTAGCGCTCTCTCGCCTCATACTCTCCTCTCCGCGCTTAGTCTCTCATTCCCTTAGCACAGCCGATTAGGAAGGTGAGTGAGCCCTTAACCTAAGCGTTTTCGACGGATTCTTTTCCTTTTTTCTTTACTGCCGGCCCATTTCGCACCAATACATTCGCATTCGTGTGCAAGAGCCACACCAACACGATCCTGGGGACATGCTTTTACAGGCCTGTCCTTTCGAATTTTGCTTTGAACATTTTACTGTGTGTTGCTCTTGAAGACACAGATATTTGTGTATAAGTGCAACAATGAAATGCGCTGGCATCCACAACCTGCTAAGTAAGTGTCAATTATTTCCAAAATGCTTGCGATATATTCATTTTGTTTTCTAACCCTTGAAGTACAATGTTGTGTAAGACTATATTTTCGCGGCAGGACCAAGAAATTTGGAATCTCTTCGACATAAATAAAAAAACACGAAGCAGTGGCAGTGTTCACAGCTTCCTATTTCATTAATTAATGGTCAAAATGAATCCAAATTTTGTCATAGTGTCATTTATGTGATTATAAGTAATAAACAGTAGCAAAAATAAATTTTCTACTCAAGGGTAGAAAAACTCAAGGTTGAAAGGGATAATCAACACATTGGGCTACCCTGGAAATTAGTGTTGACCCAAGCGATACTGTTTTTTTTTTCAAATTTTCCAGCCTGTCATTGAGGTGATCGCTATGAAACAAAGTGTAATCGCAACAGTACACACAGCGATTTCACATTGAAAATCCTGCTTTCACCCTCACAAAAATAGAATTTGAACAAACCTCGTGAAACGTTATTCCATAGAATTGAACGATCTGCTTACAATTACTGGCAGATTTAATGGCGTCTACTTCTTGTTGAAGCCGTTTCATTGAACGGCAACTGGCGACGTCATCTACACCAGAACTGACTATCCGAACACGCTGAAATAGCAAAAAAATTTATGTCAAGGCGACACACTTGCCTTATCGTAAGAAGCCAAACTGAAAAAAAAGAAAGGTCTCCTAAAAAAAGGTCGCACATAAGTTGTCCGTAAGACTTGTGTCAGAGTCCGCGATTCTTCGCGCGATTCGCGGACCGTGACACCAGCCTAAGTGGGGCATAACTAACAACAACCGATCACAGATAATTCATCTTGCAGCCTCTTTCTGCAGCTCAGTATTCGTAACATACATCGCGTGGAGTATTGAACCCCTAAATTCCGCTAAGTTCACAACTGTTATGCATTTTGCATAACTTCGGTACTTACCATAAAATTTCCTATTCCGAAAAAATTTGGTAACTTTTTTGAAGTGTTTTTTGTGCGAGGTTTTTGTGGAAACTTTACTTAAGGGCCCGACTTTTCGATCAAATTTTCTTGTTCAGAGGTCAATTATCCACACAAAGGCGAAGAAATGCCGCTTCATGTCAGCTCTAGTTATGATCAATGTCGAGGTTCTATGATGCGAAAAGTTGGAATTTACTTGATAAGTTACTTTTGAATCAATTTCGACAGTTACCACTTAGATGACTTCTTTTGAACCGCTTTTCATCTAATTACAAAAGGGACACACCCACGAAAAAGTCTCGTTTCTTACCATAATATACAGGGGTGGCCAAAAAAAGAGACACTTCACTCCACATTTCAGACAGCATTAATCACACTTTGCTAGAATCAAATCGACTGCTCCCAACTTCAGTATTGAAGAGCACATCCCAATCTATCAATAAACCGTTATAACAGCTTTCTGCACCGACGATATCACAAGAATTCGTCATGGGAATCTTGTGCACGGTTTGAGCTGAACATGATCATGGACCATTGCGACATTATCTGAAAGGCTGGTCAGGGGGTCTTGCACTTTCAGAGCTACTGCTCCAGGGAAGCAATCTATCAGTGATCCGATCAAAGAAATTTCGTAGCAGCTTCAGGCTGGAACGATTACGGTAGGCCTTCTTGAGCTCAACGGTGATGGAAGATGACGTCATATTTTGAGGACGGTGAGGGCAGTGGAGGAGGGCCTGCTTCTACTTATGGGAGGACATCTAAGGGATATTTTGCCGTAAAACTTTTATCAACAGCGGCACCTGTGCGACGAAAAGTTTGATGATGTGCGCCATAGGCAAAGTGTCTCTTTTTTTGGATGGAAATCGGAATGTGCAGATATTCACAGGAATTAAAAGAAGACAAGAAGAAATCTGAGTCACAGCACTTGAAGCCACGAGTCGGGATTTGGTACCAAGAGCAAGTCCTTGCAGTGCGTACTTATAGTCTGGACTGACTTTAGCCCAGACTATCGGAGCGGAGGCAGATCGGACCAACCTTTTTTCCTCTCTCGTAAAATCCAATCAGACCGACAGGTTTTCAATTCTCAGTATCTTTAGTATTTTTCATAATAATTTGCTAGCCCTTGAATTTTATAATTGATATGCAGCTATCCACGTAAGTCGTTTCACCATCTTAGAACTGACTATTATCACTATGGGCAAATTGGCAAACTTGATGGATGAAAGGATGAAGCACCAGAAGATGATCGACCCTTTTTGGGATGCACCACGAATTATACTTCCACTCAATCTGCACTTAGATGAAACTTGGCCTATGCAATGAGCTGCAAAGACCAGGTAATGTAGGAGCTAATGTTTTCTATCCGATCAAGTAACAATTAACCGACCCTAAAAATGGAAGGTCTGATTAGCCTGGGAGCGATTCGATCCGGGATTGACTTACGAACCGTGTGCGTGGAATGTTGCGCCACTCGTGACTACACTACGCTAGCCCCACGCTTAAAGGGATCCTCGGGAAACCCTTGCATTCTTTCCCAACATGAATATGTCAGTTGTGATCACTAGAGACAACATACAAAGTTTCACGCACGAAGATTCGGTTTCCGAAGAGAAACAAACTACGAAAACCACACTCTATGGACAATCGAAGGTAAGTGGCGCGGAGCCAAAGGCGGGGCATGGAAAGAAGTCCGCCTTGGGGCGGTCACGTATCAGGCGACCCACTGGAAGTATCGGGTTAGTGTTCGATTTTGGAGTAAGATGTTATTGCAAAGTCATGAGGTGAAAAAGTTTCTAGTGACAGCACTCCGTGAACCAAGTGGAAGCATTCCGTCGCCAGCATTTGTGACAGATGTCCGGCGGGAATTTGAACGCGTAGCAGCCCTTCGGTTTTTCGAATTTTTACCAAAACAAATGCAATTTTTTGTTCTTTTCGTTCTTATCGTGAATGATGGGTCTCAAGCCAGTGATTTATGGTGAAATAGAATCATAATTTTTCTGTGAAGGATTATTTCAACTAAATACTTGAAAGAGCGTATTCGACAAAAGTTGGACAACAACGCTAAAAAGAGAAGAAGAAGAAAACTCCTTTGACCTAACTCATACGTCGTAAAGCAAATGAAAGATCTAACACGAATCGGAGGAATTCCCAGAAACTCGGTTGGGAAGTGAGAAAACTGTCAAAACCACGTAGCAGTTATAGTTCCAGCACACAGCAGCGGGCGCAACTTGCTCGGCACGCAAAGCTAGCCCTTTGAGCACACAATCCCGATAACTAATAATGGGCAGCTGGCAATTCTGCAATATCGCTTCTATGACAGGAAAGCCATTAGGATAGTTTCAGGTCTGGTATTTGAGAGGCGACACTTTGAAGTTCATGGCCACTATTTTTTATTATTTTTATAGAGTAACCGCACCTATTCGAACATTTGGAATTGGAGATATTCACAGTCAGCTTTCGCACTGCATCAGAGAACAAAATTAAGTTCAGTATTTCATATCATATTCAAAAAATAGGTACTGAACCCGATCAAGCAATAATTAGTAAGGAATTCCCACGGTGGCGAGAAGTGCTTTCCAAATGTGAACCCTCCCTGTTCTGCTAAATGAACAATCCTTTGAAGAACCTCAATTTCCAGGGTACGCATCGCGACCCTCAGTGAATTCTGGAGAGCAAAAATACATTGGAATGAGTTGCTTTTTTCGCTACGGGCGAAACACAGCTGTCGTGATGCAATCACTAAACGGAAAAATCCCGAGTTCGTGGGAAGGAATTTATTGATTAGTTCGTTTCTCAAGCAACAAATTAAGTTTCTGGTGACAAATACTTGAAGAAAGGCAAAGAGGATATGTATCAATCTGGAAACCTCAAGGCCTTGCAATGTTGAGGGGGTAGAAACCTTCAAGGACTTCGGTTAGACAAGGCTTACACAGTGACATTAGGAACATGATTCGTCCCAGCGACTGGAGATTTTTGAAGCTCTGACAAAGGTAATGCGGTCAAACGAAAGCATAATAAAAAGTGCTGTGATCTTGAACAGGTTACAGCAAAACGTAGCACTTCAAACTTCCATGCCAAGATCAGGAGGAGGTCGTTTCTGGACATAAGATTAGTTGGGATACCTAGGACTCAACTCCGAATTTACATTCTCTGACTCATGCATATTTCGTGACTCGATTCGTGGATTTAAGGACTGGGTCTCATCCGGTAAGAGGGGGCATTGCGGTGCACGGTCTGCTCTAATGCCAATTTGGCTCAAGGAGTCCTTTAAAGTTACGAGCTGCTATCAGCTTTTTTCCTATGTTATTTCTTCAGGTGTTTTGTGTAATGTATGTATTCTTGTACTAGATGACATTAACGTCTACGAAAAGTAATATTCACCTAGTCAGCAGGTCAGGACTAAGCCTAGGAGGGGGAGGAAGTCCCCCGGGGAAAACCAAGATTGCTCACGGACCCGGGGACTCCTTCCCTTCTAGGGCTTAGTCCTGAACGTCTACAATAAAATAATGTGCTTTCCATGGTTTGAAATGCTCTAGATCGCTATGCCCCCCCCCTTACTGGATGAGACCCTAAGGACTTTCTAGGGAAGAATTCGCACAATGAGTTCAACCGATATACACAAACAGATCCTCCAGGTGTAGCGAGAGATGTATTGCCTCTTAAAGAGAATAAGGCAACAAGAACCTGGGACTGCTACTTGTGCTTATCGATTAGGTTAGAGACACAGAGTGTGACAACGAACTTCCTTCTCTAGAGCAGCACACTTTCAACCACCCGAATGAAGCGCCCTCAGTTTCAACTGACTCGAATGGACAGCGGAATCAACTTCACAAATCCCTTCAAAAATATCTAGAGCTGCAAATTGTATTATATATGTGAAAATGGATATACATTTGAGCTACAACTTACAAAGAAAATTTTAAAAACACGAAATTGATTTCTGAAATACACGTAATCATTATGTATATAACTACATTTTGATAACTCTTATAAACTATCAAATAATCATTTATTTCCACACTGATATCTCCCCCCCCCCCAACCATCCATCCCATCTGCGCCGCATACTCCTAAATACTCAAATCTCTGCTTACTGATTGCATTTACTTTGACGAGTAATTTCACGCTATGTATGCTTCAAATGGCTTCCTATATTTTGGATCAAATTCACTAATAGGTCTAATACAATCTAATCGAGAACAACTTGTATTAATCAAATGGGTAAAAAGTTTCTGATACAATCTAGTAGCCTCAGCCTGACTTTGGCTCACCCCTCAACCGCACTTTTGGCTTAGCCTTTGAAAGATTAAACAATTAAATTTAGGTGGATTACATGTATACCAATTTGGATAATACGTTATGCATAACCTTCCTACATGTGGTTTCTCATACCCGTACACTATAAAATAAGTTATTAAATGAGACCTTAATTATTTGATCTGATACCCATTAAGTTTTTACATTGAGCCTTAAATGAATTATCAAACTGGACTGAAGGTCAAAATACTATTACAATGGGCTGAATTCCACAGCTCCTTAATAATTTATATTACATCCGAAATTCTCCAGCCTATCGATTTTTTTTCAGGTGATGATACGATTTTCGAAAGTCGTAGCGCACGTACCTTCACGGCCATTTCCGTACCGGTCAAACTATGTCGCATTTTTTTCACAGTTCCAAAGCTTCCATTACCAAGTGATCCTAATTCTTCGAGATCTTTGAACTCAAACTTGTACTCTTTGGTATCTGGTGGAAATACCAGTTTGTCGGCAAGGAACATTCGTATGTAGTTCCTAAATTCATTAAACTTTTATTGCGAAGATAAGGAAATACAAGAATGTGAAAAGCATGTTAAACCTACTGACATAAGTTATTTTATGAAATAGGTAATAGGTGCGCCCTTAACAACGACACAAACAAACACTAATATCTGTCTCTACGTGGAACCCCCGCGACCACCCTCTTGCCGCCACTCTTTCGCCGTACTACGTACACGTTGCGAAATCTTCTTCGTACTACGCTCAGCTAACAGCCGACGAATTCCTACGGTTATCAGCTGACCCGCTTTGGGTCAGAGGAACTTCTTTGGGGTACTACCATGAGTAATTCGAAACCAATTGATTTGATCTACAACAAAAGCCTTCAGTACAGTAAACCTTTCGCCAACTTTAGATGATGGGAGGGTTGTTCCTTTTCGATAGTTCTATAATTCTAACATCTGAATGAAAAGAGGAAAATAATAAGCAAAAAGCATTCGGCATTGATCATGGGATGCGCCACGCGTTCTACTTCCATTCGAATAGTGGCAATTTGAAAGCGATTTGGCGTATACAATGGCGTCAACGAACAGCAGTGTATCTTATATTTTCTATTTTATTATATTATTATTCATGTTCTTCAGTGAAAATCAAATCTTTCTGAACAATTTGTTAAATTCATTCTTGCAAGGAAATATGAAACACTTTCGTTATAACTTATACGTACGTTTCCACTGGGTTTTTCCTAAAATCTCCAGATCAAGGAGGATAACAGGTCGTTTCGGCCTTATGTAATGAAGGGTACACCATTACAATCGCTTTAATAAACTGAACTGAAAACTGCTTTCTATATCTGCTAAACAATTTTCTAAGCGGTGTTGTAAAGCGGAAGTTTTAGTGGTGGTGGTCCAGCCTCACAGATAGGAGGCCGTTTGGTCAAGCCCTTGCTAGGTTGCCCTTTTGCACTTTCGACAACAAATCTAGAAAGACTTCTGACATCACTACTGCATCAATGCGTGCCCAGAAATGTTTATGTGAAGATCTTGCTAGCAGCTTGCAACACATTTGATAAGCATACGAAGAGGAGAAAAACCTCCACAACTGCTTGCGAAGAACTGTTCACCAGAAACGGAAGGCAATTCTGAGCTCATTATTTCAAGCCGAATTCAATGGTACACCTCACCACAAATGGCCGGACCAACCTGGTAACATTCCCTGGTGAGATTACTGAAAATATTTACTGAAAACAACCCAACAAACTCCCAAACCCAAGAGTATAAGAAGTCTAATGCGCAACCCACTCTATTCCTGTCACTCTAGAAATCCTAGTTCCTTTGAATTAGTTAGATTTTATATCACCGTAGCTTGGGGAACAAGTTGCATTCATTAGATAGAGGGAAACGATCACAAGAATTCAGCAAAACGATTTTTGTGCATTTTTTTTTCAACCCATTGGCTCTAAATATTGATATCCTAGAAATTCGAGGATTCAAAGCAAAAAAGAAGCAAGCCTTCTCGTTGTGGGAAAACAATGCAATGCACAAAAGCTGTTCCAGCTATCCTTTCGACTAATGAATATATCTAAGCAACTTCGGTCTATAACAGTGTTTTCCATTGGCCCAACAGTACTATTTCTTAAGAATTGTATGATTTTTCGCATATCGAAAAAATAGATTAATAAAAGTTTGAAGGCCTGCTTGGTACCCAGATACCACGTATCCCACTGTTCCTGACTACAACAACTACTTTCGAAAATTGTTTGCCATTGGGATTACTGGAACGTTGATCGTCCTCGAGTCGGACCAGAATAATGCCACCTGAACGTTCTTGGCATTTCAAAAGCTGTCCTCCGTTTTGAACATTCACAATTCAGTCAAACCTATCCGCAGCTAAATAATGGTCGGATAGGTTATGGGACTGCTCATAAGTTATCTAACAGTAACAAGGTTAGTTATTGTATCCGCTTTGCTGGGAAGGTGTAATAGCAAGTCCCCTATACGCAGTCCACGTGCCAACAACTACTAATAAATTCCAAGCAACCAAACCTTACGTCCCTCCAGTACCGTTACTTACCAGGAAAGGCATTCAACTTCCCATGGAACTTTGAGATGAGACCCAGATATATCGATAGAGCTTCAAACGCTGATTACAAATATGGAAACTAAAACTGCAAAATGAACCTGCCAAGGAAGTTGTGAGCAGTCAAAGTTGGCTGGAAGTAAAGCATTACACTAGCCTCCGGGCTTTCAAAGTCGCCGTGGAGTAGTGGTAGTGCTCTCGGAATTTGCGCTCCGACGGGAGGAGAGCTTATGACCTCCAGGGTGAATAGCGAGGGCACCACCACTGCTCCGCGGCGACTTTGAAAGCCCGGAGGCTAGTGTAATGCTTTACTTCCAGCCAACTTTGACTGCTCACAACTTCCTTGGCAGGTTCATTTTGCAGTTTTAGTTTCCATATTTGTAATCAGCGTTTGAAGCTCTATCGATATATCTGGGTCTCATCTCAAAGTTCCATGGGAAGTTGAATGCCTTTCCTGGTTAGTACCTGACTCGTTTTCGAAGGCTACAAAAAGAGAACTGTGCATTGGATAGCCCTCAAAAGACATTGCACATGCCAGATCCCATTCAAATACCACCTGAATCCTGATGTGGAGAAGGATGGTGGCCCATCCCGCGAAGAAGTCATGTACGCCGAATGTTTGGTCTTACCAAGGAAGTCTTTTACCTACTATGTTCTATACTGAAATGGTATCTGCCCTTTTAGCGGATGTTCTTGATAAATTATTTGGCCAGTCCAGAAGGCTTCCCTATACCTTATTACGTGGCACACCATTGACGTTCTACACGCACCTATACGAATTGACCACGAAAAGCTCTTTACCATACCAGCACATCCTTAAATGAGAAAGTTCACCCACAGGGTTCACCTTTCAAGTTCTTCCCATTATTCCTTTACTGCCCATCCAAACATACCACGCTAGCTGCGTAATGCCTTTATAGTGGCACCTTCTCCACCCAGTTTAGTGATCAGTTAGCCCAATACCGCTTGAATGATACATTGCGTGTGCTCCTTAAAAAATCCTTGTCTCTAGAAAATCAAGAACATTTACTGAAATACTACAACTCCGATCGGGTCCATTGTTAATATCATTATGGTTACACGCTCTCAGCAGAGCAAGTCTTCTCTTAATAGCTCCTTCGTAACGCTCATTTTACTATTTTCGCTAGTACACAATTACGAAATTATTCTGGAATATTCTATGGTAGAATTACATTGCTACAACATGTTACTACTTGGTATTGATTTAAACATGACTTACATTTGTCCGATAATTTTGTTCTCCACTGAATCGTCCATGATCATTTCCTTCTGAGCATCCAGTTCGAAGCCCTCCGAATCCCTTCTGAGCGGTTGAATCGGTAAACGTCGGCGATTCATTGCCGATAACCTGGTTCATGGACGGCTCTACGACGACAACTGCGACGGCTTTGGCACTGCGAACGTGAAGATGACGACGTCGATGGCCACGACGCCAGACGCGTTGACGGTACTATGAAATAACCAACGATGAAGTAACACACAGCACTTCGTCATCATGTATTTCGTAATATTATGACCACAATACGAGAAATGCCCACGGCTCCGATTCCTTTTTCAATAAACACCAAAAAAGCACAACTTGCGCATAAAATTTATTGATTTTTATAAACACCACGAATTTTCATGAAATCTCACTTCATAAGCCACTTGCTATTCGCCCTGCTTTGCAAAACAAACAAATATAAAGCTAGAGCGTTATGCACTTCGGAACCAGGTAGAAGAAAAAACAGGTTTACACCTCGAGTAATTTTAAATAAACAAAACAAAAAAGTAGACGCCTACTAATAATGGAGCTCAGCATGGACCCTGCTAATGGCAAAGTCCAACCCACAAGGGACTTGACTCGCGAATCGCAGACTGATTTCATAACTGAGACAAAACGAAGAAGGAAAGCGATAAGCAGACTGGAGAAAAACGACGTAAGAAAGACGGAGGAAATAACAACAAAGCTGGAAATTGGCTCTTTCTAAATCTACAGACTAGACAAACTTAAAGCCATCTGAGCCGTTTGAGAACAAATGACCCACTCCAAAAACTAACAACAACATCGAAGTTACTGAATCAGCTCTGGTAAATCAGACACATCATCGGAAAACAAATCATTGAACTTCTTTTTCAGCCCACTTACTGTCTCTACGGGCTTTTCCTTAGGTAGACTCGACTTCTCCACTACAGTTGATTTCTCTTCGATTTTTGGCTTTTCGTGCACTTCTTTCACCTCATTCTCGGGTTTCTCACCTCCATTGGAAACACTGACATGCTGGTCCGTACCCCTAATGGAATTATCCGGATTCTTTGTATTGGCGAGATTCTGCAGTGTTTGTTCCAGTAAAGATCGATTCTCTATCGTCATCGAATGATCGGCATCCAAGGAGAACTCCTTGAACAGCAAGATTTGAAAGATACCCACAGGGCTTCCATTCATGAAATTCTTTCGCAGGACTCACCATAATGTCCTGCGCTTCACGAAAATACTTTACTGCTTCTTCATGCCGGTCTAGATTATTCAGAAATATACCTATATTCCTGAAAAAAAAGTTTATCAAAAAAACGGATTTCTCGGCTCACTTACTCCAACTCCAAGTGATCATCCAAGCCAACCCGCTAGGCACGTAAGCAATACTGCTTCACACATGTACAGTTGCGGTCAAAAGTGCTCCCCGAAACGTTTTTCAGGCATTTTTTCTCACTCGCGCCCTTCAAATATTAATAAGACATGAAGCCTTCAAAACCTTGACTCTTGAAGAGTTTAGATATTTGAAAGAAAGGCTTCAAACTAATCTTTAGATCTTTCTCTGAAGGGAAGAAATGAAATGCACGAAAAGCGTTTCGGCGAATTACTTTTGACCGCTACTGTACCCTATTTTTATAAAATTTCAAAATTAAAAATGGAAGTACACTTATCCCTGGCACCATCACGTAACATATATTTAGATTTAGGGAATTAGATTTAGGGAATAAATCTATCTAAAGACCTGCGGAGAAAGCATAGGGGACTCCCATTTCCATCGTCGCATAGTATGGAGTGAACGACTTTCTGACGATCTGAGAGGATCTCAATAACTGGTCAAGGTGAGAAACTCACAAATTACGACCGCCATTCGATCGTCCTGCACGCCCTCTAATTATCACCTCAGCTCCTTCGCCAAAATTATTATTTTCCTTTTTCTTACTAAGAAGCAACTGCAAATTCTCACACACCTTAAATGAAAAGCAACAGCAGGATGATTCTGCGGAAAACAGCGGCGAACGCAATTCTCGGAACGGAGATGTAATCGAAGGAGTTCTTCATTGTTATCCGGAGCAGTAAGTGGAATGAGGTTCTGGAAATCACGATTATTGAAAAAAAAGTCGGGCGTGATTCCCATTTACATAGGTGATGCACAAAGCCAAGATAGGTGAGCCACTGTCCGATTGAACCCCTCATCTCCAAGGTCCGCCGCTTGGTTCCAAATTTATGTCCCAGCATTGAGACACTTACATGTGTAAGAAATGGGCTGGCAACCTCAAGCCTTATTAATTGGCTCGAAAACGCCAAGTTCACTATTAAGTGACTGCAGGTTGCTCTTGGTGGTCATAGACAGCGATCGCGATGGCTGCAAGGTGGCGCGGTTTTGATAACGTCAATGGTCATTGGTGGAAACATTGAGAGGCAGTCACCAGCACAGCCCCAGCACGCTGAGAGCTGTAGTCCATCAATGAAGTCCAAAGACGCCATCAGAACCACACCGCCCTCCAGCCATCGCGATCACTGCCTTTAACCCTTTCGGCCCTGGCGGTGGCAATTGCCACCATCAAATTCAAATGTCTGCATTACCGCTGCAACAGCATATTTTTCTATCACTGCTAGAGTTGCTTCAGTCAACCTTCCCCTTCCTAATTATGCTTTGAACCTGCCATTTCATTGTGTGTTGCTGTTAGTATTACAAGTATTTGTGTACAAGTGCAACAATGAATCGGCGCTGGTCTCAGCAAGCCGGTAGGTATTTCTAAAATACTTGGCATATATTCAATTTCTTATCAAAAACGTTAGATATAATGTTGTGCAAGATCATAAACTTTTTCGACATAACTAAGAAATTTGGAATTGTTTCGACATAAGCTAAAAACTAAGAAGGTGGCCAATTTTCAAAGCTTCTAGTTTCTTAGTTTGTGATCGAATAGCTTCCAAATTTCGCTATAATGATATTTATGTGCTCACAAGTAATAAACAATAGCAAGAAGAAAAATTTTTCCACGAAAAAAACAGGTCTGAAAGGGTTGAGGTACATATAGGAGCGGGGGAGGCAAAAGGTCATCCTCCTCCACGTTTGAAGGGGGATTCGGTGAGCTTTTCAAAATTCGTTTAGAACGATTTCAACAGGAAGTGAAGAGCATTCCAATCTACCGAAAAAAAAATTCAAAGCACAGGACCACATCAGAAGATTTCCCACTCACACGGTGCATTGTGGGAGCAAAACGAGGTTCCCGACGAATCGGACCGCTACGACGTTATTTGAAAAGCTGGCTGTAGGGAGGGGGGGGGGAGGCAGAGCTGATGTCTCTAGGAAACTATCCAACTTATTTGATTTTTCGGAGAAATTATGCAGCAGCTTTGGGTTGAAGCGTTACGGTAGCCTTTCTGGAGCTCGACGGTCAGATGACGTAATATGTATTTCGGAGAGAGAGAAGTGAGAAAGGGCCCGCTCCTGCTCGTGTCGGGGGGGGGGCAATCTAAGGAAGATGTTGCCGTCCAGCTTTCACACCTTTCACACACCAACCACACAAGCGCGGTTGTGTGCTTGTAGACCGATATTCTGTGTCAAACTCCACCGTGGCCCGTGATTCATGAGACTTTTTCACTGTGTCACTTCGAAAGCTGAGTTTACAATGAGAATACAGCCCATCAAAGAAGTAGAGAAGAGAAGAAGAGGTCAAAAAGGCAGGGATAAAACAAAAATAAAGAAAAGCGGCTTAGAAGCCGAGAAGTGGGACCCCCTCTTTGCGCGCTAATTTGCGTGTCAGACAAGTCCATTGGTCCTGATTTCATTAATGCTCGCTCTCCCTAGCGGAGCGGCTAGAGTCAGATGGCGAGGGATCAGCCATCGCTGGGCGTGCAGCGGCGCTATTGGCGCTACACAGCCCGACACAACCATCGCTGCGAAACGAGCATCGTCCCGCACCCATAGGAGATCCGCCTGCCTTTCCTAGGATTTACCCTTCTTCCTCTTAGACCTTATCGTGGAATCCTCCTTTAATTTGAGCGAACCGCTTCGTTTCAAACACTTCATAAACACACCTGAATCAATTTGCAGAGGTAGATATTGCTACCAGACAGAATCTTCGTAAACCGCTCTAACAAATCTTCCAAAAATTCCACACGAGTTTTTTTCGGCATCTAAAACCTCATGATAAATCTTGGGTCATAATTTTGCTAGAAAAAATCAAGGATATAACTTCTGCGGCGATTACAGCGTCAAGACTATCAGCAGCATACTCTGAACATACCAAACGAATAGACAATGACAACAGCAACAAATCAAAGTATATCGTTCGTCAGTCAGCCATCTGAGTCACTTCAGTGAGTCTAAAGATGAAAATTTTTACCTACCTGTTCCACTTCTCTATCTTCAATAATCTTGTCAATGAATCGCATAGCGCTCACAGCCTCCATGACGTAGTCCTGCAATTGAAATCTAGACCTGGCAGCATTTAGCCGCATATCCAACATTTGTGGCGCTGCACACCCAGGAATCTTCCGCGGAAAAAGCTCCGCCTCCATTCCCCTAGAAAAGCGATACTCCTTAGGCTCCTAGCCTCATGAGCATAGCAAAAAAACGGAATCATAACGTTAGTGAATATACAGAAGACAAAAATTATCAACTCTTTCCGTGGAAGACTCCTTTAAGATATCGTTTTCTGAGGTAAGGGGGCGGAGCTTTTTCCGTGGAGGATTCCTTTAATATTTTCGGAGCGACTTCCCTGTCAGTCAGTGTTTTCGAGAAAAAGGGACGACACATCAACACTAAACGTTCCGACTTCGAAAGTACTCAGTTTTGCTCCTGTCTTTGGACCTCCCAAACTTCCACTGCCTACTCCTTCCAGAACACATCAAAAATGAGAAAGCTCACCTTCGGAACTTCATTTCCACACCTTTCGCAAGTAATGACACCTGATTTAACATTCTTATATGAATGTTCACCAAATATACAGATTTCGGCGCGATTATCCGGCTAAAAGGAACTTTAAGTAGTGCACTGGATAAACTACTAAAATAAGTTGATATTATTTACTATATGGCAAATAGAAAATAAAATCTGTGACAGGGCAATCAATCGTATAGAGCAGCTCGTTCTGACCAGATAAGTGTTGGGCCGCGCATTAACGCGCTGGGGTATGGCCCAATAACTATCCACTAGTGGCGACAGTCCTCAGATCTGCTCTACCCAACGAGACTATTGCATTTGAGGTGACAGATCTTCGAACAACTTATAGTTACTTCAATTTGCAGTAATTTCGAGCAGGGTTCAACCCCTTGCCAACGCATCAAGCGACGGAAGTTACTGCTGCCTGTGCCGATTACGGCACACTAAGTTCGATTTACCATAACAACCATAACACTATCAACACCACCACTTCCGTTCTAGCCATCACCAATCCTTTATCTAAACTATTAGTTGGATACCGATCACTTAAGTCCAATTCTCGCTTCCCCTCCCCCTCCCCCCCCCCGATATCCCTATTCGCTCCTGCATCTCCCCACCCATTCCCCCTCACCTACCTTTGGGAATCCTACTATCCATGAGCATGACCTAAACTCCTTCATGTACACGCATTTCAGGAGCTTGAACGATGAAAAGACAGCCCACTGGAAGGTAAAATGGTTGGTGAGGCGGGGATGGAGAAAAAATGGTCTAAAACTCGAGAGGATCACTTTTGCCCGTTGATTTGCTCGCTAGCCGTATCTCTTCGGTGCTAACCCATGCTAACTCTCCCTACTGGGCGGCTAGAGCCAGACGGCGAGGGCGTGGGCGGGCAGTGGCGCGGGAATGGCCCTGCTACGCTGCAACTTGTTGCGAAGCCCGCATCGCCCCACCTGCCTTTCCATTAGGTATAGTTCCTTTCAATTTGCGACCTTATCCTGGAACTCTTGATTTTTGAAGTAACAATGGTTCATTGAATTGATTTCCTTTTTCTTCGTTAACACCCTTCTGCTCCCTTTCCAGCAAGTAGAAAATACTCACCGAACATGTGGGGCAAAGAACACTCGTTAACAAATGATCAGAAGGATCCGTGCACCTCTCACATTGACAATCAAAATACCATGTATCTTTCAATTGCTTTTTCCTCTGTTGCAATGAGCTGCAATGAGCGAATACTCAAAAAGTGGAATAAAAACTAAAAAAGAATAATGAAGAAACACCATCTTTCAGTTGAGCTCGTTCCCTTAAAATTGAAAATGACTTCAAAAGTCCGATTGTACAGGGGTGGGCGCACATCAAGGAAACCTGGCGTGCTCACCCAACTCAATGAGCTGCCCTGTTGCTTCGACGTGCGCTTGACTGTGTGACCTTGGAGTGCTGGGACCCAAACCCTGCCAAAGTCATCCACCCGAAAATTCCACGGGCTGCTTTTAGACGGGTCCGAGAGTGGATCAATTGTCGCGTTCGCACTTTTCCGTAAATTTTGCGATCTCCCCACCACCAGCAGTTTTCGAAGAAACCCCCAATAAGACGTTCCTCCTCCCTACCCCGATAACCCTCCTAACCATGGTTTTTTCTATAGCATTTGATTCTGAGACCATCGACACTCCGCTCACTTTCTCCTCCGAACGGCCTTGTCGAGCGGAGGAAGAGGGAGAGGGATGCATACCTTTCTACGACCTCCCTCACACTTGCGAGATATAGTTATCCTTACCCAACTTTACATGTGACCTCCCCCTCCCCAAAATCGCAAATGCGACCCCGTCCTTGAAATTATGCTAACAAACGATTGACCCTGGCCGAGACAAACTCGAATGCGCCTAGTAGATGCGTTCCTCATGCGACTCAAGCTCTCCACCAGATAAGATGGAGATAAATCTAACGTTAACAATTAATACTGTTCCAAACTGAGTAATGAATTGTTATTTATAGCCAGGATCCGAATTATGCTATTCATTGTATTCGAAATTTTTTTCGTAAAGAAAGAGTTTCCGTAATTTGCGCCCACTCTGCATACAAGTATAAGGTACTGCAGATCACACAAATTACCTCAGTAAATCGATATACGTATAAAATGTAGTAGATCTATTCTTAATGTCCACATTCGAATTCAATCCTCTTAGTGTAGCCACAAAACCGTCGCAAGTGAATATCGTGTTTGGACGGCAAGAATGATCATATGCACATAAATCCAGGTACAATCCTTTTCCGATCTCCTAAATCAGCTCAAAATAAAAAGCGCTAATAGCGAGAACAACTTGATAAGCAAAAGGCTAATAAATATTATTATAGAATGTCAGAGCAGAAGGAAGTTTGCGATAAATGGGAACAAGAATGCAAAAGTGTGGGAAAATTGTAGGAGAGACAATACTACTTCTACTCCTGCTGCTGCTAGGAGAGACAAAGGATGCAAAATTGGTGTGGAAATAGAGGCAAAGGGCAGAACGGCGAGAGATATGGGGCAAAAAAAGGATGGAGAGAAAACGAGTGGAGTAGAGATAGCAAAGCAGAAGGGAGGAGCTAATACGTCAGTTTTCGAGCCAGTCGTCCTATAGAGTACTCCTTAGAGTTTTAGCATAGCGAACGAGATAAGGAAGGTTCTATGCAGAACACTACTAAAAATGGCTAAGCGAAGGGCCGAAATGTGCATGGATGGCAGGGTCAACCTATCGTTGTTACTGAAAATAAATACGGCAAGCGCGGGTGGGGCACTGGCAAAAGCGACCCTCAATGCACATTCGGGCCTCCCGCGGAGGTGGAGTACTGCCAAAAGCGACCATCCATCAGGGTCAACCCTACGTTGTTACGAGTAACAACGGGGGGTCGTACTCAGTTGAGCTTGGAGGGGGGGGGTCGTACCCTCTCGGTGGCCGACAGTGGGATTCTTGGTAATATCGGATAATAGCCAGCACGTTACGTTTTCGTAAGATGACTGATACTAGAGCATCTATAATGTAATTAATATCTTTGGCAGTACTCCACCTCCGCGGGAGGCCCGGATGTGCATGGAGGGTCGCTTCTGCCAGTGCCCCACCCCCGCTTGCCGTATTTATTTTCAATGTTTTATCTAGCTTCTTTATCTCTGAATGGCTCGGCTGAAATGTGTCCTTTAAAGGATGACTACAGCTTGAGAACGGTGAGTTTTAACTTCTCCTTTTGCCTTCCGAATCACACACTACCCAGGCCGAGCAAACTTCTAATCGCTTCGGAATTTCTTAACGTTACCAGGTTTGTCCGGGAAGATAAAATCCATGACTCGTACATCAGCTACTGCCTAACTTATTGTGGGAATCGCATGAAATGCTACTACGATACGAAATGAAAGTGGAGGGCATGGCGTATCACAAAAATGAATGACTCGACACCTAATGCTTTGGGCTTTCTCCTTTTGACTGTTTTCCTACTAACTATACTTTGACTTATAAACAAACGAACGTGACAACGATGGATATTGGATGGAGTGATCGAAAGGGTAATGAGCAATAAATTGATAGCAGTACCTTCACGTAGCCCTTGTCGCTGATGGCATGCCTGTTGATATAGTCTCTGCAGTGTAATTCGAATACAACATCTTTTGACATCATGAACTTCTCCTCATAAAATTTTGTCAAATGCTCATAGATCTCTGAAAAAATATCTTTGTTATAACGGAGATGTAATACATGAGTCTAATCGCAGTTGCATACTTTACAGAAAAAAAAACTGACCTTCAAATTTATTCATCGCATACGAATCTTTACGAATCTTTTCTGTATGAGCCCAAATTTCAAGAATTGTTCTCTCGGAAGTACGGTCCTTATAGAACCCCTCTGTTTTCTTGTCCTTCCCATTGCATATTTCCTGAACGGGAACAATGAATACTCTCCGCTCCGGAAAAACAGCGCCCTCCCTTCACTGTCACAGATGAAGCAAGTGGCGACAGTGCCGCCACTTAGACGGAACAAGCGAGGCGGATATTGAATTTGGAATACTGATGATGTTATGAATCTGGTATGTACCGTAATAAAGCGTAATAAAGCGGAATAAGGTATAAAAACAAAAGAGGAGGTAAGAATCTAACCAAAAATGCAGGGTGATGATATTGCTCACGATAGAACCAACAATGTTGCGCTTGCTTGATCTACAAGCTTCATGCCCCTCATTTGCAGATATTTAAAAAAAATGAAGCCACCCAGAGGTGTGGGATGTGTACCATCCCCACCTTAAACTCAACGCCAACGCTCCTGCAGGTTATCGATAACCTCTCAGAGAAAGACGGGAGGTGGGACTCGAAGTAGCCGGTGAGTACCGATTTGAATCATCCACCTCATCTCTCCGTTCAAAAACGGAACGGCTTAAGAGTCAGTAATCAGGCGGAGCAGGTAAGTTGTTTAATGGGCCTGATCGACTGTCAGGCAGCTCTGATCAACACTCATGGACCTTGAGAGAAGATCGACTTCCTCTACGACTTAACACGGTGATTCAAAATAGGCCTCGCTTGAGCACGCTGCCCGGTCAAAAGATACCTAGTGCGAAAAGTAAGTCGCCGATGGAAATGAAGGGTTGGATGGTAAAGGGTGCAATGGTTAGGAAAAAACCGAAGAAAATGATCCCAAATCTGCGGCGAGCAGGTCTCCTCAAATTGGCAAGAGTTTCAAGTTTCGCTTTCTTGGGAGACAGTACTTCCTCGTAGTAGTCACACTTGTCCTTTTCAAAAAACAACTTATCGTGCAATCTGCCCTTAAGGCTGGTGTCAAGGTCCGCGATCCGTCGCGCGATTCGCGTCATTCATAAGAATCGCAAGTGCCCCATTTGAACATTTGAAGAATTGAATATGAGACAAGTAAAGTCATGAACAGATGTCCTTCTTGGAGGAGGAAACCAACAGGCAAGTGTTGATGCCTAGCAGATGGCAATAGTGCACACCTCTGGAATACAGGCCGGTTCATTTTGAGATTATTACAAAAAGAGCCAGGGACCCTAATTTTCTGGTCATCCTAACAAATCTATATAAAATAAAATAATGGCGGAACATCGGAACTCATAATTTCGTCTCTCTATTCATGTTGCACAACTGCAGGGCTCACTCCATCACTCGGAAATAGACCTACCAACCTTATGCCTTAACACTATTCTGCCGAGCATTCTTGTTTCAATATCCGGAATCGATTCTGCCTTGCGTAATCCTTTGCACTCCGCCTAAAGAAGAAAAAGAAACTTGGTAACCAAGCACTGTAATCTGAAATACTGTTTCCTAAGTTTTCCTTTCCTACATCAATCCGTGCGGCATCACCTCCAAAACGACTAGACCTACGAGTAAATGAATAAAAATCAGTTCCTAAATATTGTATAACACAGAGAGGCACCAAAATTTTATTTCAAAAGAATTCCAAAAGTTCAGAAAGTTCAAAAATTCCAAAAACTCAAAAGTTTCAAAAGAGCAAAAAGCTATTTGAAAAAGAATCCTTTTGAAATCCTCCGCGATATTTCGGTGTTTAACACCTTCTTCAGGCATGTGTTTGCCTTGCCAAGTGTAAAGCTGCCCTTACGGGAGCCGCGCCTTTGGAGTGAAGAGAAATGATTTTCTGATTTTCTCTTCACTCCAAAGGCGCGGCTCCCGTAAGGGCAGCTTACACTTGGATTTCAAAAGGATTCTTTTTCAAATAGCTTTTTGCTCTTTTGAAACTTTTGAGTTTTTGGAATTTTTGAACTTTCTGAACTTTTGGAATTCTTTTGAAATAAAAAAATTTTGGTGCCTCTCTGTGTTATACAATATTTAGGTGCTGATGAGGCTCCGGGACAGCACAATATTAAGAAAAAAATCAGTTCGGTGAACGTAGGAAGAAACACACCTTGTGATCCTTCCATCCTAGCGTCTGACATTCCTTGCCACAAAATAAAGCGAATCCACAACCAAGGCATCTCCTGAAAGACTGGTGAATAAAGAAAGACACGGTGATGTTCTGACGGAGGAACAAAGCTAAATGAATTCGCTTCATTGGAAAATAGAAACAAAAATAAAAAGCCACTTGTTGGGGTTAGTGAAGCTAGGAGTACCATTAGATACCGTTCATGCAAAGTGCTGTTGAACAAAAAACTTTAAGCTATTCACTGCACAGCACACAACAAAATCCTCACCAATGTTTTCAAAATATGAAGATATCCAACACTTCATTTCGATTCTGGAAAAGTAACTCAAACTACTTGATTCTGAATTTGCTTCAGGTGGTCTCGCTACACCACGTTCAGTCGTTGCGAACATCAACTTGACCTCGAAACCCATCTGATGAGCATAAATCCTAGAGGCAGCGATTACGATAAAGAGGAAGCGCATCGGGAAGCAACCACACGAATCAGTTACTTGGCTGCCAGGGAAGCGAGGTGTGGCGCTTTCACGACGAAAGGTGCGCTGGTTGCTGAGCAGGACTTCGAAAGCACTCCGCCCCCAAAAGCGATCCGCCCACTAGTTTAGTTGGTGATTTGGACGAGCTGCGTTGCAGCAGCGGCACAACTGGAGCAACTCGATTGGAGCGTGGTTTGGCATGGTGCCACCAAACGCGTTGCGATGAACTCGTTCATACGTCCGCTTTCTGAGCTGTTACCTGTTCATGAGTGAAAACCAACGGCCAAAAAAGGGGTCCCGTTTTGCGTTTTCTTGACGGATTTCTCGCTTTTTTGCCACTGGCGTACCATTGAGCACCTTCATCACCTTTGAGCCCTCTTTGAGCCTATCGTAATCACTGCCTTTACCTGAGATTTTCGAACAGTTTTCGAGCATAGGATGAGGCACACGTACCAGATAAACATTTTGAGAAGCTTATACTCAATTTTTTTCTCTTTGAAGCAATGATCTGCGAAGATGAAAAAGTACACCAAGTAGAATAAATCAACCTGCTAGCAAAGACTATACAGAGAAACAGTATAGTAGTAGCTTTAAAGGTTTTGAGCTAGATAAAATGAAGCATGTGAGACAGATGAATTGACTGTCATCCACCATTCCTTTTTCGATGCGTTATGCACTCGATTCTACTCAAAACCATAAGGCCTCGGTCATGTACTTGTCTCACACAATGAGTGCAAAAATCAGATAAGTAGATTTTCATTTCGGATTAAAATCAAAGAACAGCAACACTCAACCGAGCTCAGAGGGCTAGGATTATATGTTGTACGATTTCACTGGAGATCCAGTCCCTATTCTATGTCCCATTCTATGTAGGAAATCGTAAAATAGGGAGCAAGTGCTACGAAAACAGAAGCATTTGACACCTTCCGGCGCTGATCAAATCCGTTCCGAGATGCGCCCACCTTCCTTCTTCCATGCAAGTGTACTGCCACTTAAACCAGTACGGCTTAACAGAGAATTACAAAGGCCAGCCGATGTGCAAGTCAGTGTTTCTGCCTTCCCAGATGGTTCTGATACCAGCTAATCGACTTTGAATGATGGAAGGATTGATTGGTTTGGTTGAAATCCTACGCGATCAATCTGGACCGTACGCGTGGATAGGCGCCATTTCTCACTTCAGCATCGGTGCCATTATGGAGAGGTAAAAACAGAGAAGCTCAGAAAAATTTGTTATTGTAGAACCTCTACTAGAGCTAGAAAACAAGCGCCAACTACCAATCAAGGTCGGGGATGTCAGATAATATTAAGATTAGGGGACTGTATGAATCTCCTGAGATATCACTACTGCGCTTGTGGTTAGTGCTGACAGGTCTGCACTTTTATGAAGTCGTATAAGCCGGCGTTTGTTCTGACAGTACTGAAAAGGAAATCAACTGATAAGAATTCCCTGAATGAGCGGTCCAACAGGGCAAGAAAAATCTAGGACAGTAACGTGACTGGAGCAACAAAAATTTATGCAGTCCTGATCAAAAATGAAGAACGTCTTATATAGGGCAGAAGAAGTTGAGTCGCGTATCACAACGCCAATTATACATGGTTACGCGACGTGCTTAGCTAACATGGGGAAGTACATCTACAACTGATCAATTCCGATGCGATTTTAGTAGAAGTCAGTGCCAGGCCGTGCACAACACAGGGATGACTGGGAAACAATGGACATGGTATCAGCAAGCTGATGTTTTCAGCACAAATGTGAATAAACCGCTACGATGAAACTACAGCAATACATAAGAACTAAAATCATTTTCAAGCAAGAAAACCTTCTTCGAGGTGTGGCGTTGCTTTGGAGAACAGAAAACAGCTAATAATTAATCCCTCTCTAGCCCAGCATAGATACGCATGCCCAGCAAAAATTATTAGGTTGTCCAGAAATTAATGCAGGTTTCGATGTGTCATACTTTATTATTTTTCCGAGAAATTTCTCTCGATTGCTGTACTGTTGCACATCGTTGGAGAAGCCCATTTCATTCTCTTTCTTACACTGCTGTTGTATTTTGAAAGGACTCGGGCCTCACTTTTTTTGAAGGTTTGAAGTCAAAGCAGTAGTTTGAGCAAGTTCACTTCTATGAGTTGAAATTTGGAGAGGGTGCTGTGCAGACAGCTCGGAATAGGATTGCTGTGTGGGGCTAAGGATGTTGCAATAAAAGCACACTGCTTCGATGGCTCCGAAGCTTTCAAGTTAGGGAAATCTAGATTCGAAGTGAGGGGGTTACGGACGACATTCTCCTCTTGACGGCAGCCTTCTGAAGACCCGGCAGAAGAAGATTTCCAAACAAGTGTACGGCAGCCAGCAGCATAACCTTGAGCAAGCATACTGAAATTTTCGGAGCGCCTGAAGGTACTTGGGAAGGTAAGAAAGCTGGACAAGTGGGTACCGCATGAACTGACTGAGCAGCAGCAAAGTCACCTTGCAGGGATCTTGGCACAACTTTTTTACTCAACAAAAATGTCCGACTCTGGAACTTTTCGTCATCCTCGACGGAAATAGGACCCTTCTTAGAATAGAGCAATTTTCCAAAAATCTAAACAAGCTACGAACATCAAAAACTTTTTCCAAAGTAGAATTTCTACAAGGTGAGGACCATGCTGATGGTTTCGTGGCCTTCCGGAGTAATGATGCATCGCAGCTTTCTGAACCCAGGTGATTTTGGTAGAGCATCAATGTCTGTCCATAACATCGACGTAATGCTCCGTAAAGAGCAAGGCCTCTAACCAGAAGAAGGAAAAGAACTCGTTTTCCATGTTCAGCCACATGTCGCACAAACGATTTCGTAAGAAAGGGCGAATCAACCTATCCAGCTTTGCTTTTCACAGTGCACTCACAGGATCTCACCCTCACCAACCTCCAGTTTTTCAGCCATCTCGACAGCTTCTTGGGCAGAAAAAGATTTGAAAACGAGACATGGTGGAAAAGACCTTCGCCGATATCCGCGCTTCTACGGTTCCTATATTTTGAGTTCGTGCATTAATTCAGCATGCTTCTGTTAAGAAAGATGCGTAGTTTCCAACACTTTTTTGAATACTAAAAATGTTCAGTTTGAGCTGAGATATAATGCGTTGAAGACGGAGGTAAAAAACCACAATAAGATAAATAATTTGAGAAATAAAATTTCTGGACAGCCTAATAATAACCCTTTTGAACTCGGGTCAAGGATGGACGAGTCGACGAGCCAAGTTTGCCCGTAATGTTTCTATCCCTCCTAACCCCCCACCCCATCACATGCGAAAAGTCCAAAAAACAGCAAATGCCGGTCTGGATAAAAGCGAAATCGATCGATTTCGTACCAGGAATTTAATTGGAGATGTAAGGCGCGTGAAAGCACACCGCTGATTGGTTGGTTGTCTGCTGCGACTAATCGCAAAAGGATCTTCTGATTCGGCTTACATCAGAAACAGCAACAGTTCCAAAAGCGAATGCTTTGAATACGAGGTATAAAAATCATATTCCAAAATAAACTCACTCCGAATTTTCCCTGCTTTACAGAAAATGTTGAATTGAGGGGATCACAACAGATGAGTGGAGGAATAGGAAGCATCGGAATCTTATGAATATTTCGCCCTGTTTGCGAAAACATTTCAATCATTATTCATCGTTCCACACGCAACATTCCGTCGTTAAACACAGCAGACATTTCACATGCTCGAAGTTCAGCAATTTATTAACTGAAGAAAATATCTTCCAATAGCTCACTTTTTCGTCTCCACTGGTGCTAGACAGTACCAACAGTAATTACAGAGCTCTTCGGTGAACAACGCGTAGGCAAAGGGGTAGAAACGTAGCCGAGGTTTTGATGTCATTTCTAAGAAGGAAAATTGCTTATTGATAGCTAACAAGTAAATGAACCTGAATAGAAATATCGATTCCATCGGTAATTCTAACTCGAAAAAAATGATTGGCAAGAAAGGCAATTCTGCAGAAAACAATAAGATGCGAGTAGCCAATGACCACTAGAATGAGGAAGGTATCCAGGAAATTTGGCTAAACGATCACTCTCCTGTCTTAAAAAAGGAACTTCGATACGCTGATTCTCCCCCCCTCCCCCCCCCCCACCGCCCGTTGGTTGAAAATTTGGACCAGTTAAGCACGCACGTTGGCGCTTCGAAACAACTTGTTATTTGTAGTCATACTACACAGACGAGCAGTCACTAAACGTACTGCGCAGACGAATCATAAATACGGGAAAGCTGCAATTATACGGTGAAGCAGGAATTATCCGCCGTTTTCCTCACGCATAAGTTTACTAACGAGAGAATAATCAAGAAACGTTCTCGAGGAGCCCTCTCTGCAGCCGTGTCTTCACTCCAGCCTCACCGATTTACGAACAGATACAGTAGCATTCTCCAAGCTCAACTTACATTCGCGTAGCATGGGTGATCTTTTTTGTACGCTTGCAAGCTTTATAGTGAAGCAAATATAAAAGAATTGTAGACCAGAATGTACAAGAGATTATGCGCATTCAGACTGCATCACAGTATTTGAAAATATTCAACTACCACTGCAACACAGACGATTGAATGGCGCATCCTAGAGCGAGATTTTTACTAAATACGTCATGTCCCAGTGAGCACAAGCGAAAAATTCTTTCAGAGAAACTCCCATGCTTTAGAACAAATCAAAGTGGAGGAAAGTGCAGCGAATTCGGCGGATTGACCTCTAGAGTACTAATAGAAAACTATGGCAGAGAAAGGTTCCCTTTCCAGATAATCTAGCATGTGCTGAAGTACTGATCTTGCTAATGATCTTACAACCGTTTTTACCCCTTCTCAATTTACCAACCTCGAAGAAACTTATGGCCTTATGTAGGTTGAAAACGGCTCCCCCACTTTCTTCACGATTTGGGGCGCGGCCGCGGCAAACCCGCGGCGTTCGCGGCCGAGTAGTGCGGCATCAGCTTGCCTGAGTATTCGACGTTACATTACGTGTTAGTTCATCCGATCGCGGCCGCGCCTCAAATCGTGAAGAAAGTGGGGGAGCCGGTTGAAAACTCGCGTTTCAGTAGAATGGCCTAGATAAGCATTAGGGGGAAAAACGGAACAACAGGACGGTTTTTCGAAAGAGTGGTCATTTAGAATAACTGAAATAATTTTGGAAAGCGTCAGCCTTGTGGTTTCTAATTAGCCTGAGCGATCTGCAAAAGTTAATTGCTGAAGTACACTGCGTCCCATAATTATACGTC